CATCATCAGCATGGTTTCCAACATTCACACTGGCTTGAGGATTCTGCCCAATCGCTCCAGACAACCTCGTCAAAGCCTCCGCAATCGCTTCGTCATTCCTACCTGCAACCATCGTTCTTGATTCTCACAACAAACCTTCATTAGAACAACCATATTGATAGTGCTACACACACGTACCAAATGCAAATGGGGAATAAACACATTAACAACTTGGTCAACATACCGACCTGCTCTGATACCACTTAATGTAACACCCCCTTCTATACCCTCAAATAAACAAATAAATCACAAAAGCACATAATAAATTTCATCAGAGTAAATTAAAATATGGTATAAAAGAAGTATGCCACATCATTCACCAAAATAACATACAACACCTGCTCTATAAAAGACATGCAACAGTGGGGTAGTTCAACAGAGGAACTTAGTCCTACACCCACATCTCAATAATTAGAAATTAAAGCGGAAGATTAAAACATTGAATCATTTAGAACATGTTATCATATAAATACATAATTCAGTTTGGTTCACAATATCATTCATGTTTACAAAACATTACCATCAGATACATACACACAATGTATCTCAAAAGAATACTATATAGTCCTAACTACCCGGTGCTACATATCAGAGCATAACCGACCAAAAGGATGAAGCTAAACTTCACAAAAGACCTCCAGCAACCTAATCTGCAATGCCTTATAGAGCATTATAAAAGAGCAGAAGGGTGAGAAATATTATCATAATGATCAAGGCATATAATTATATATACATACACAAGTATAAAACACATAGATTTCACATTTCTCACCACAATTCATTCGAATCATCATATACATCACAACATATGTGTAAACAAACATGGATAATCACCAAGCACATTTCATCATGCATACATCCATAATTCTCAATTCAATACTTCACATAAAGGTATACTTTCATTCAACAATACACATTAATCATGTGACTCAATGCAACTCATGCCATGTGGTACCAACACTTGTTATCATTTTTCGGTTTTTACACTTAAACCGGGTCCACCCTTCTAGACCGATAACAACAAAAGCCCGTTCCCTAAGCTTTCAAACCCACCCTTCTAGGTTTGGGACAAGTCACTAGTCTCCACGAAACTAGCAAACATTGCCTTTTAACTAAATGATGCATATGCAATCAACCACCAAATGCACTTAAGACCGTCTCGCATCTTAATCCCATGCATTCAAATAATTCATCACTCAAGAATTATAACATGATTGCACACACAACATATTCATACTCAATATCATCAATATATTCATCAAGCAATGCACACATATTTACAATATGTTCTGATGCATTCTATTCATACAATCTCATACAAACAATATGTATTCATAATCAATTCCACAATCTAAGATTCACGCCATACGGCTACCCACAATATATATTTCACAATATACAATTACTCATTCCGACAAAGATCAAACACAATCGAACAAAGAAATCAACATGGAATGGAATCACAAGAAAACCAAATGCTGCATGCTCGCTGGCTTGCTCGCCTAGCGAGTCTCTCGCGAATACTCGCTATCTGTTCACCTAGTAACAAGCTCGTGAAGGCAAACAGAAGCTACTGACTTCGCTCGCCACCTACTCGCTGCAGCGGGGCCCTAGCGAATCCTTCGCCACCTTACTCGCTACCAGCGAACCAGACCAAATGCATTTTGTCCAAGTCTGGGACCTCTCGCTAACTTATTCGCCCAGCGAGTTGCTACCGAATGTTCGCGACCTGTTCGCTTAGCGAAGGTACTAGCGAACGTCTGCGAACTCAGAAATTCCCACTGTCCCAAAACTCCGAAACTCACCAAATCCACCCGATTCAATCCTGGCTTGTTCCCGCAGCCTTAGCCTAGCATTCCTCGACTAAACTCTACCAGTTATTCTCATTTTCGACCGTTAAAACTCGGTTTCTATCGATGAAATCCACTTTGCCCTAAAATGGAAGTTGTAGAAAAACATCCAATAATGTAACCCAAGCATACATAATCATATACATTGACAAGATAATGATATTTCACACCCTTACCTCGATTAAATCGATGCTTGAGAGTTGTTCTTGAGCTTTTCCAACTTTTCCTTCTCCTCCTTCTCTTTTCTCCTCTTTCTCCTTCTTTCTCTATTCTTTCTCTTATGTTTCTATCTTTCTCCTTTCTCTCCACTTTTCCTTTATATGTCTTTTCATTCTAATTCTCTCCAACATCTATTAATTCATTTAGTTAATCATACATTAATCAAACAATCCTCTTAAAACAATCCTCTTAAATCATTTAATTAATATAAATAATTATTTAGTGAAAATTGGGTTGTTACACAATGAAAAGTCAATTGAAAGTGCATTTCAATCCAAGCTCACCATTTAACCAAATAATGAGAAATTGGTATTTCAAATTAATGGTGAATCTTCTAGAGGTAGCATATTTGCTAGAGTCCGGGGAAATGGAAGAAACTATCGTGGAAGAGAAATAGGCGCCTATGGAAGACAGGGAAATTTTTTAGGTTCAAATAAATGGTGTGGCATCTGCAAGAAGAACACTCATGAAAAAAAAGATTGTTGGAACAAAGGCTATCCACAATGTCATAATTGCAAAAGGTTCGGGCACATGCAGAAAGATTGTCACTTACAAAATCAACAACATGTATCATTTGTAGAAGTAAAAAATAGTAAATCCAACTTGTTCTTTTCTTGTCATAAAGCAACTCAAGAGTATTAAAAAGTGTGGTACCTGGATAGTGGGTGTAGCAATCATATGACAGGAGATAAAGACACTTTCATTAGCATTGACCCCTCATTTGATTCCAAAGTTAAATTGGGCAATGGAGAATATGTTGAAGTTGAAGGTAAATTAAGCATTGGAGTTGCAACAAAGTAAGGCGATGAGGTAATTCATTATACTTTTTATGTTCCTAACAAATTAAAATCATTCACGCCGAAAAATTTCTCAATTTCATACTTTGTTGACGATATCTTCTTCTCCATACTACACCAGTTTGTTGTGAATTGATATTGTAAATAACAAAATAAAGTTATGAGATAAAGATTGAGTTTCTTGAACAAACACAAGAAATTCTATTAGGTTTTACAAAAGAGAGAGAGAGAGAGAGAGAGAGAGAGAGAGAGAGAGAGAGAGAGAGAGAGAGAGAGAGAGAGAGAGAAAGGAAGAAGAAGAAATTAGGATTGATTAAAACTGTTTTATTATTCACTTACTCAATAAGGGTTTAAAGATTAGTGAATAACAACAATTAATCTCTCTCAACAACCTGAGAGAACTAGTCTATTTATAGACTACTAAGCTAACTTATGCTACAAGCTAACTTAACAATTGGGGTTACAAACAAGGCCCAATTCGACATGATTTAAAACAAAACATATTTCGACAACATGTTTGAATAGACTTCAACTACAGCATGCACAACTTTTGTCAAACCATGAAGCTACCCTTGTTGACACCAGAGTTTAATCCAAATACCACAATTAAATTATTTGAGTTTATCTTATATCATAAGTTTTGTAACACTATTTGAAAGAACTTATTAAAACAACTTATAGTAATATTCATAAATTTTTGTGAGTTTATTTTTATAAATTCTTAAAAATAACTTGTAAAAATAATCTATAACACATATAAAAATAACTTAAATTCATTTTATTAAAAAGATAGTTTATGTAAACTTTTCATAAGTGCTTATTTTGATAAGCATTTGTGCTATAAACTTTAAATAAGTTGTTTATCCAACAGTTTATACATATAATTAGATGTTCCCTCTAATCAATGTGCTGATTATCTTGCGAAACTGCGTATGTTCTGTTCTATTGATTTTTTCTGGTTCACGAGTGCCTTTTTGTTTTGAAGCGTTTGCAAGATAGATTAGTCTAAGTTGTCTTTGAAACTTGTCGTATAGTTTCTCTTTGTTTGGGCCTTGTGTCCTTTCTTTCTGAAAAAATTCAATAAATAAGGACAAATAAAAATAGAAAATATGTCAGTTAGTAAGACGAAGGGAGCAGTAGTTCCCTGTGTCATTGATTTTCTCATGTCAATAAGAGATATAAATTCAATGAATATGAAAGTTAAATATTTAATTATTAGAGTGAGAGTATAAGTAACATCTAATTTTATTTATTAAACTAGTAAAATACTCGTGCGGGAACACGAGTAAAATTAACTTGTAATTATAGAGAATAATCAATTTCAATAAATCTGTATAATGCTCAAATGATGAGAGAAAACATAACCAAGAGCAATGAAACAAAATATTTACATAAAAAAATTGCATTGCATTTCATTGAAAGAAGTTGGATTTTTTTTGTTTATATTTTTAAGCCCAAATATATTTTCTAATTTTTCTACAACATTTTATTAATTTCTTACACTACACTATAAAAAGTGGGACAAACATTAATGTTGGATATTGACTAAAATTGCATAAATACATTCTAAAAGTTTAAAATCAATCATCAACCAATTTTATAAACTATGAATGTATTTTAAGCTAATACAAATTAAAATATTAAATGTCTAATACAAATTACAAACTATAAAACATACTAGATTAGTGTACTTTGTCAATTCTTCTTCAACAACATATGAATATGTTATTTCTTAAATAACATTGCTTTGTTGACTTTTTGCCTGAGTTGTTGCTTTGTTGAGAAGCATGACCAGTACTAAATTTCTTCTACTGAGTATTTTAAATTTCAAACCTCTTGTTTTGTCTAGTCTATTCAAATATTTTTCTTGCTACCTCTGTTAATTCACAGGCCGTCTTTTATTCTGTGAATCAAATAGGTTAGACAAAGAGAGTTTTATCTAAAAATAGGTGTGTGACACGTGTCATGTAAAGAGAAGTTTGAGAATGGTTTAATTGTAAGAGCAGAAGATAAGATTGCGAAAGATTGATAGTGGAAGTATAAAATATAAGAACTGCAGACTGATGAGAAATCACTTGACTCTCTAAAGAAAGACATGGCACTTGTAACTGACACTCCAACCATCGCTGAGGTCGACATGGGTTCCGATTTCAACGAACTCACCGTTCGAGCCACCGTTGTTCAGGCTTCCACCGTCTTCTACGACACTCCCGCCACTTTAGGTTCTCTTACTTCCCATCTCTAATTCATCCAATAACCATCCTTTTCTTTAAAAAATGATTATAATCTGAAACCCTTTCTCGCTTCGATGTTAAGTTTCCTCTAGTTTGGTACTTTAATACTTCAATTCTCCAGTTTCTACCAACAGTTATAATTGAAGTGAAACGTTTTTAATGATTTGATGTTTATGATTGATATCCACTGAAAATACATTTTTGCTTGATTTGGGAGTGATCCTTTTTCAGTTTTAGCTTTCTGTGTCAATGTTGAATTGGTTTCTGATTTTTCTGAGTATTTTGGTTGCAGATAAGGCTGAGAGATTGCTAGCTGAAGCTGCCAGTTATGGCTCCCAGCTTGTTGTGTTTCCTGAAGCATTTATCGGTGGCTATCCGCGTGGTTCTAGTTTTGATGTTACTATTGGTAGGCGCACAGACAAGGGTAGAGAAGAGTTCAGGAAGTATCGTTTAGCGGCAATTGATGTTCCTGGTAAGAGCTTAGTTTGAAGAAATCACTGTCTTAGGAGTTATTTAATATTTATTTATGCATTTTGTCTATATGTGTTGTTTTTATATGTATATATACAGTTTTGCTAATATACTGATGCAACTAAAGTTAAGACCTCTCATTTTTTGTTAAAGTTTTGTTTTACGCATCAACTCCCTTTGTTGCATATTGGCTGTCAGGAAGATGAAGAAGTTTGATCAGTTTGATTCTATACATTTGTTTTCTTAGTCTAGTCGTTAGTCTGCTGACGTTTCTTGATTTAGTTCGAGAATTGGAAGGGGAAACCCCAGGATGAATTTTTTTGTATGAAAATTTCAACTCTAAAATGTTCACATATTGATGATTTTAACAGATCCGAGCTGCTGTCTTCACACACTTTCCAGTAACAAATATTGTGATTATTGTAGGTCCTGAGGTGGATAGATTGGCAGCAATGGCAGGAAAGTATAAAGTACATTTAGTGATGGGTGTGATAGAGAGGGATGGCTACACACTTTATTGTACTGTCCTCTTCTTTGATTCTCAAGGTCATTACTTAGGAAAGCATAGGAAAATCATGCCAACTGCAATCGAACGGGTTATCTGGGGATTTGGAGATGGATCCACCATTCCAGTGTTTGAAACTCCAATTGGAAAAATAGGTGCTGCCATTTGTTGGGAGAATAAGATGCCACTATTAAGAACAGCCATGTATGCTAAAGGTTAGAAATTTTACCTAAGATTTTTTTTGTCATCCAATTACATGCTATTTTAAATGATCAAATTGTATAGTTCTTTTGATAAACAAAAAATTCTATAATACTTGGGGCCTTTTTGTATTGATTTATTTAAGCTTATCTACTATTATAGTACATGTGAAACAACTTATGACATTTCCATTAAATGTTTTTATCCAATTTCCATATGCTCTTCAGGATAGCTTAAGAAAACGATTTGATTTGATTTTTTTTTATAGAAATAGTTTATACACACTTAAATGATTAGCATTTATTCTATAAGGGCTAAATTAACATGTTTATCCAAACAAGGCCTATTTGGATAAACTCCCCTTAGTAGCATTAGATATTGCATATACTTGTACTGAAGCTGTTTGTTCACATGTCTAAATCGATGTTACTTGGTTTTAACAGGTGTGGAAATATATTGTGCACCAACTGCTGATTTCAGGGACTTGTGGCAAGCTTCGATGAAGCATATTGCACATGAAGGTGGATGCTTTGTTTTGTCAGTAAACCAGTTCTGTAGGAGGAAGGATTATCCTCCTGCTCCAGAGTATGTTTTTCAAGGTTTAGAAGATGACCTCACACCTGATTCTGTTGTATGTGCTGGAGGTAGTGTCATTATATCACCGTCAGGGGCTGTTTTGGCTGGACCAAATTATGAGGGTGAGGCGCTGATATCAGCAGACCTAGGTATGTCTGTCGTCCATGGTTGATATTTACACTAGTTGCTTGTACTTTGTTACAAGGAGTATTGCTTTCTTTTAATGTATGTCCAGCTGCACGTAAGTATTGATTGTTACCCAGTACATGTCTGGTACACTGTGCCAGACATGGTTACCAGTATCTTTATCTTACAATACATGCGAGTCATATCTTGATTTGATACTAAATTGAAATAAATTGATACGAATCACAAGTGTGTATCTAGTTGTGCATGATTCTTATCTTGAATCACAATTCATTATGATATATCCCAGTTCACTATGACAAATCTTGATTCATTCTAATTATTACTACCTAAACTTAGTGTAGTCAACCACATTTTTTGTCAACTATGTATAACCAGCAACTTTTCTTTTGGCATTTGATATATCATATATGACTTGAATCTTGAATCATTTTGAGCTTCATATATGAAATATCAACTTATAATTTTGTTATGTCACTTGTTTCTTTACTTAAAAGTAACATACTTTATTAACAATTAAATTTACGATTTACGACTCATGATAAGATTCGATTCACAATTGGTAAAAAGGTCTTCCAATTCACGATCAGAAATAAGATTTGATAGCTATGTTCCAGACTTGCGGGCTAGTATGAGTAATAAGAATTTTGGATTTTGGATTTAATTGTTTTAGGTTTGTCATCTTATTAGGATGGATGGAATTGCATTAGTATAACAGCACTTATTTTTACCTAGATTTTATTATTTTATTACTTACACGCTTCTATCATATATTTAAATCTGTTATTATGAAGTATTTTCAGCCTCCCTTCTCTGTTTCAATATTTTGAAGTTCAGTTGGATTAACCGTTATAAAGAAGATAATTACACTTGAACTATTAGGAACCAGCCAAATGAAACTTCATAGTTGGAAATATGCGTGCAGCTTCGATATCATATAAAAATAGCTAATATATGGAAATAGCCAGCTAAATTAAAGAACCTCATTGAGGTTGTTTATTTTTCGAACAACGATTAATCATAGGTGCTTTTAATGAAATGTCTCTTGGGATCTCTTGAAGGTCTATTAATGTCGTACTTTTCCGTAGTTTCTTTGTCATAAGTTTGCCTTTAAGAGTTGAATGCTACGCCCTGACTTTTGAAACTTTTGCGCAGATTTTGGGGAAATAGCAAGAGCTAAGTTCGATTTTGATGTTGTTGGACACTATGCAAGACCTGAAGTGCTCAGCTTGATTGTCAAGGACCATCCAACAAATCCAGTTACTTTTGCCTCGACAGCAACAAAAACTGAAGAGAAGACCAAGTAGTTTCTTCCATTCACGGTCAGCAACTTCCGAACATCCAGTTATGGATCTGTCTGTCATTTTAGCCTACTCGATTTAGGCTTATCTAGTAAAATAAGCTGTTGCATATAGGTTTGATTCAGTTGAACTTATTAAAATGTCTTTGAGTAATTGGAAAGTTCTACTACAGAAGCATTTAAAAAGAGAATCACAATTTTCATATGAAAAAGTGATAAATGCTCAAATTATGTTTGTAATCTGCATGTTTATTCGAACACGTTGTAAGCTTTCACAGAATACAAAGCAATTTAAGTGATTCTTGTTTTTACAAACTACTTTTTCTGATCTATTAAGCTTGCTTATTTTAGGCCACAGCATCGTATAACAATAATCAGTTGTTTCAAAATTACTTATTAGGAAAGTTTCTAAATCACACAATTGAGTAAAGTTATTCTGTATGCTTCATGAGATTAAGAATTACTAGGAATCAAAACAGAATGGCGATGTTCTATTCTATTGGTTACAAGCATATGAGCAGCCTTAATCAATGTTATCTGTAGCAGTTAGAGAGTCTAAGAGCAGCCATTAGTATTACTAGAGTAACAATTATTATTATTATTATTAGGAGCAGGTACAAAACTTAGGTATAATAAAAAGGGAAACAAAACCATGTTCTGGGCAGGCTGAAAATTAGAAAGAGTTTATATTTGGGAGGGAGAGACCAAGCTCTCGAATTATTGGAAGGGAGAGAACCAAGACTCTCGAATTTCTTGGAAACTCATTGTAATTACTATTATATTTTATTATTTGAAATCAGTTTCTATCATGATCTTGGCCGGAACTGTCCAAGATCCACGTAATCAATGTTTTATGATTTTTTTTTCACAATTTGGCTACAACACACTATTCTACTTAAGATCGGAATTGTTGGAGGTGAGTAGGATTGTAAAATCGTAAGATTTTAAGATCTAGAACGTGATTTTGACAACCATACATGATAGGAAGTAGAAAGAGTTTCAATATGTTACTTATATTCTTTTAAGTCTATTTTCTCTTTTAAAAATACAAATGGAAGGGTAAATATGGAAATAGTGGTTATGTTAAATTGGTGTTGGGTCCACCTAAAAAAGTTTTTGTAAAACCATCTCAGAATGGCCCACTTCAACATGGTTGATCAAAGATCCAAGCAGAGGCAACATAAGATTACAGAATTCAAATATTTGAATAGTTGTAATTGGAACTGTCCAATAATAATGTTATCTTTCACAGGCTGTCACAATCAATACTTGCTGCATTTATATCACAACCATACGTTCTCAAATATAATTGAGTCCCTATAAGGTCCCCATAGTTTAGTTGCAGTCTCCTTTGTTTTTATTTCATTTGTATGGATCCCAAAATGCTCTATTATTTTTTTCTTTTGGAACTATTAAGGAAATCACATGTTAGTGGCTACCCAACAATTTTCATACATGTGGATCAAACAACTTGTTCAATATTTACATGTTTCTTGCTATATAGCTTTAACAAATATCACAATGTCACATATTACCAATGATAATTTTTAACATATTCAATACATGAAAGACATCATTTACAATTTGTAATATAAGTAAAAATAATAGGAGCTATCAATGATAATAAGTTGCTAACTATCACTATCAAAACTCTTTAAGTAACATCTTGGTTTTTTCCCTTCAGCTTCTTGCTTCAAATTGGCACCCTCAAATGCAAGAAGAATTTTTAATTCAGCTTCTTCATTAGTACACTGTAAAGTTAACTGTTGATCATTTCTTTGAACAGGATTGGCACCTGAAATAGACCTATTGCTTGGAGTTCCTTCCTCATCGTCTTGTATCCGAGCTCGAGAGAGAAATTCAATTGAAGTGTTGGGATCAGAATGATTACGACCTTCTTGAATATTTATATCTAAATCCCTTTTTTTAAAGCTGGAATTTCTCTTATTGAAACAAATACTTCCCCATTGAATTCTCTCAGAGAAGGATTTCCTCCCTGTGCTATCTTTGTCTGTTGAAACTCTTTTCGAGTCATTTTGAGCATCCTTTTCGTTTGTGTAACTCCAGTCATAGCCTCTATTGTCATTATTCATGTTCAATTCAATCGAAACGAGATCACTTCCGTCCTCATCCGAATCGTTCAGTTTCTCTGCATTTCGGATTCCCTGACAAATGGTGTTGAAATAAGTCTCAAGGTCGTTGAATTTTGTACTCTCAGGAGAAACATCTCCATTTTCTTCATCTCTAGTTCTCATAAAGTCCTCGAGCTCATTTCTCAGCTTTTCTAGGAAATCATTTTTCTCCTCGAATTGATATTTAGCTTCTGAAAGTTTCATCTGGACTCTCTCCTCCCGCAAAACATCTGCTAACTGAAGCATTTCCCTCTCCTTTTCTACCTCTTCAAGAACTTTAACGGACTCCTTTTTCAGTTCTTCCACATGGGCTCTGTCTTCCCCAATACCTCTAGCTAGTTCGTCGCAAATTTGCTCGAGAATCTCTTTCGCACGCTTCTCCCTCTCGAGCTCTTTGGATACTTCCAAGTGTGAAGCTTTTACACTAGCCATTTCAATGGCAATCTTCTTATTCAACCTTTCTGTTTGCTTTCTCAACTTCTTCTCCACCTTAAGCTCTTCAGATACATTTTTAATTGCATCATGAACCTTTTCTCTTTCTCTCGTTTTCCATGCAGCTTTTTCTTCTGCAAAACGCCGCATCATGTACTCAGCATCGTTCTGGTTCGAGTTTGAGCGTTCTTCTTGGATCAGTTTATCAATCTGGCCGCAGACATGCTCAAGCTCACTTCCAAGAGCCAAGACGAGGGCCATTGTCGATGATTGCTTCTCTCTATGACACATTTGATTTAAAACCTTAAGAATCTTCTTCGACGTAGATAGACCACTTCTAGCTTCCTTTAGACGGCTCTTAACTCCATCCTTATTTTTGTAACAATTCTCCTGCAATACATGTTTTAAACGTAGTTCAAAAAATACACGAAAATAATGTATTTGACATCACAATTTTGATGTCAAAAATCATTTCTCTTTCTATGTAGTGCGATGAATTTACTTGCTATAAGCACTGTACCTCAATTAAACTGGAACTGATATGGGCATCCACACCAGAACGATGTGGATGAGATAATCCTGACACTGTTCTTCTGTAGCCATCACTTTCAAATCCTTTCATTCTCTGCATAATCAAAACAACAAAACAATAAACACATAGTTTCAAACCAGACCCAATAACGCATCACACAAAATAAAAACTTTTTTTATAGCAATTTACCTCTGTAGTAGGACTGTTGCATGGATCTGACATAAGTGACCGCAACAAACCTGATCTAGACAAGCTCACAGCTTTTTCTCTGCTTTTCATACTTGTTTCCTTGCAGCTTCTCATTTGGTCAACCTCAAACTCCCTTTTGACCCTTGAAGGAATCAAATCATTCATTTCCCACAAAGTAGCAGCAAGTTTTCTAGCTGAAACAGAAACCTCTTTCTCTTTATCTTTGAAAGGTAACCCTGAAGCAGAAGAATGAAAAAGTTGTTCAGTGGTAGTATCCATAGAAGGAGAATTTGTAGTACTAGTCTTCCAGAGAGGAACTGGTGTGGTTGTCCCTCCTTTCTTTCCAACCAAAATAGCTCTCTTGAATCTGTATTTTCTTGCCAACGATGAAGAAGAGGAGGAAGAACAGTTTCTCTTCCTGATTTTCTTGTCTTTTAGACCTTCCTTAAAGTTGTTGTTTTGATTATTATGACAAGAGGACATGGTGATGAAAATTGTGTTCTCTTCTGGAACCTGTTTGATTCACATGAAGATTTGGACATGTGATATGGTTAGTAATGGTGATAGTTCCAAAAAGTTCATGAGAACAAGGTGACAGTTGAAGTCAGCATCATAACCTTCTGCATCTCCAACACTTTTTTCCTCTTTTGCGGAGTAAATGTAAAGAAACTAAACTACATGTGTTGAGATTGAGAAGTGTTGTGAGAGGGAAAGAAAAAGTGAGAAAATAGTGACATTTTTGGATGTAAAGTAAGAGAAATCTTGTGAAGGGGAAGGGTGTAAAAACTGTTTAGTTTAATGGTTATTTGGATTTGGAGAAAAAGTGTCTTAAAAAGACGGAAAAGGATGACGTGGCAGACACGTGAGGGGCATGTGTATTGAATGAGGGACATGCATGTGTTTTTTCAATGTTCTGAGAAATGTTCTTCCATACTAATAGCATGTGCTGTGGGTGTGTATGAATAGATATATCAGTGAATATTATTGACTTCATTCTTTGTATTGCATTGGATTCATATCAACTCTACTATAATACTAATATATTATATACCGCACTTAATTATTTTCTTATTCTTTATCTCACCTGGAATGTTCCTCAAATCTGTCATCAATTCAACTATAACAGCGTTTTCTTCTTGTCATTAGTCCTAAAAAAGGACAAAAACAAATTATTTTAATAGTATTAAGTTCAATCATAACATTTTTCTTTATATAATTCCAAGATGATTAATCTCTAATATAAAAGAATCATTTTCAAGTGGCATATATGTATGGATGATTAATTGTTTTCATTATTTGATAGGTAGGAAAAGAAAGGGATCCAAAAAGTTCAGGTTGCTATACTGGCAGAGTGGACTTAGTTGGAAATTGGAATTACTATTATTCACATTGTCCCACAGAAAAAACTTGGTTTATAAATTAGTTGATAGTTTCGTACCTTATAAACTAACATAAAAAATAAATTTAATTAATGAGTCTTGTTAATAATTTTAAATAAAAGAAAATATCTTATAGAAACTTAACTATTTTTTTAATGTATCAAATACGCACATTTTAATAATTTTTTTTTGTTATTTTAAGGTCTTAGGCGTTTTTCTTAATTAATGTTAACTTTTTTATATTTTAAATAATAGAAATAAAATTGACATTAAAGTAATAAATCATAAATTATTTAAATGGATAATGCTAACTTGTGCCCAAGGCACAAGTTAAGAAATACAT